TCGAAAAGGTGATTTGAACAACGACGACACAAGAAAAGAAGACAAACCAATCAACATCATGACAACACCGACAGTTGATGACACTAAAAATATAGTTCCAGAACGATCAAATGAGACACATGACCGACAAGAAAAGACGCACGTTTCTGGGAGAGAAGATACCCATAAACTGTCTATTATTGACACAATGGCATCGGCCACTCCAGGGAACGATACAAACACTGATGTTAATAAAAACGTGGACAGTTTAAATAAATCGCCATCTAAAAGAAATAGAACTATTTCTGAGGCGAAAACACCAGCAGGAGGAAATGAGACATTGCCAATTGCTTCTGGTCTCCAGAGATCACAGTTATCCTTAAATTTACCGGTGTTGCCGTTGCGATCGACTCGATCCAGTACACGCAGTCGTCTAAGCGTCACGTCTAGCACTTCAGTCACACCTGAAACGTCAGTCGCCACTAGTCGAGAAGCCTCGGTACCGACATCGACTAGTTCGTTAGATTCAGGAGTCTCCGGTTCATCCACAGCATCATACAGTAGCGACGTGACGAAAACGTCCAAGGTAGAGCGCAAGAGAAGACAAAAATACAAACAGTTGTGTTACTGCTATTCATGCCACTGTAAAGTTTGTTACACTACCTAGACCTATAATACTAACGTATTTTACACCAAATTGCCGCATTATAATAGTTTAAGTGGACCTTCCGAGACACGTATGAAGTTAACTGGTTGCGGAATTAGTCCGATGGCGTCCTCGGTGGCGCTGTTCGTTCAAACTTCAAACAGCGCCATCATGCGCCTGCGATAATTTCAAGACGCAGATGTCAGTTTGCATACAATCCCTGATACTGACTGAAACTACCTTCAATGAACTTGGTTTTTTTTTTGGTCAAGTACTGTGCACGTTTTGGATTACATCTTCGAAGCAGTGTGTAGTGATAATCACCACATCTAACCACTCGGCAATTCCACTTGGCAATCATTCTTTTCTTCCAGTTTACATTAGTATTGTCATAGACCGTTTAACCATGTCACCGTTTACCCCAGAGCCTAAGGCTTCGCCTTAAAACTGTTAGATTTGAAGTGAGAGATATTCATGTCAAGACCCTGGCAAACACTAGTACTAATAACAATGGGCATTGTAACACAACAAAATATGTATGTTTATATAATGAAATAAAACCAAATGCACTTAGAGAAAGTGATACATTTAGATGAACACGTTATCAATCTTCTATATATTTCAAAACAAGGACATTTTTTTTCCGGAAAACAAGACAAAACATTTCATACTTTTTTTATCCGCATTCCACCGTACTCATTATCCATCCAACCTGCTGACCTTCCCCAGGGAGGGGAGCCTTTATTGCATGTCCACGTACTCTCTACGAACGAGGGCGTTATGACCCCGGGATGCGATATGGGAACAATTTTATGAATATTGTTGCATTTCCTGCAAACGCAACAGTTTTTGTTCATTGTAAATTATAGTCCTGTCCTTTTGGTCTACAGTACAGAGTATAGAACAATAACATTTAAAAACAAAAATATACGTTATTTCTTTTTCTACAGTATGCAAGATTGCGTGGTAGAGAATAAAAACACATACTTATCATCTTGCACTCAGAATCAACAAGAATTCACGAGAGATCAATCATTTAATTCTTAAAGCGGGAGGAGGGGGGGTCGTCCCCTACGCATACATCAGATGGCCATAGCGTGTCATTGTTTACAAACAAGCGTCTACCCATGAGCTTTTGCATTTTTAGTGTGTGTTGTTATCGTCCCGCTTTAAAGTGGCTGCATGTATTTACTGTACAAAACAACATATAACTCGTTCCATAACTTCCATGATTACAGTCTTGTGGCTGCTACCTGCATGTGTACTAATTCCAAAATCATAACCTCGCTCTCGTTAGTTTGAAAGCGAGTCATCACATGCAGACCACAAGTGAAGTGAATATTGCAAACTATTTGCTGACATCCAGCACTAGAAACTATCAAAGATATAGTCAAATAAATTAACAATTCAAACAACGACAAATATGTTTTAACTTGTTCTATATAGCCAAGAAACTCCGAACTCATCATTAAACAGAAGATGCACAATATTTGCATATACAAATCCTAATTTATTAAAGATTTGACATCATTTATGTAACATTTTAAAGCGCGGTGTTCGTCTCACAGCGCGTGTTTGAATTTCATGTAAATAAACAATGTAATTTACACGCGTTATATACGTCGCTATGAGTCCCTATCGAAGAGAACGCGGCACGACGACTGCCGCCTAGCTTTAACGCAATGTTAGACTCATTATTGAACGACTGGAATTATTGCGTGTCCTTTTTTATTCATACAAAAACACATTTATCATGCACAAAAGTGTGTTAGAATGACTTATACACACAAATCAAATCAATGCTATGTACTGAGAAGTATTGTATACTCAGCATATTCACATTACTGGTTTTGAGCACACCAGAAACAATAATATAATACTTTAGAACTATTAGTTCTTATATTCAAGCTAATATACACTTGCTTTCTGTCAATGCATTTGAAAGTGTGATTGACTTGTGTATCCTGAAAGCTGTTGACATATGGTCATTTAAATGTCACCATACCTGAATATCTTAACTGAATGGCGTCATTTTCAATTACGGGAGAAGGTCGTGCGAGGATTTCATTTGATAACGTCTCATATACTTCAACATAAAAATGATATTGAAAGTTATGCATCTGTTCATTGTAAGAGAGATTTTGTTGGCTCATCTGCAGTGGCCAGTAGATTACGCCACCATTATCTCATAATCCCTAACCCTAACCCCTGGTCCACCAATGTGATCATTGACCTGAATCAATCAAAAACCTAATTAGTCTTCTGTCCAAAGATTATCAGTTGTCATAGTAATTTACATTCTTATCATTACCACACATCAGTGGTATGACTTATTCTCAATAAAATCTTATACATGTCATTTTCGTTTTTGATCGAATCAATTGTAAACTAATCCAAAATTCTGCATTTGAATGGGACTAATTCTCAGAGGTGATCAGATTTCAATCAAACATTTTATGCTGATACATATTATTATTGGGTTGCACATGCTCAGTAAAATTTTTCAAGATCTGATTTCGTTTTCCCACTATAATTCTATCTCTTTTTCTCCTCCGTTACCAAAAAGTATTTCTGTAACATGCAATGTCCAATTATATTCAAAAGTATTACAGATAACGCTATTAAATTTGTGTGTGTGTGTGTGTGTGTGTGTGTATGTGTGACCTGGCCGACTGGCGGTCATTTTTGTTATAGAATCTTCACCAGTAAATCTAATTCTCAAATGTGACTAACTGGTTCTTGGAGATGACTGACCATTTGGAACGAAACTCTGTATGATGACAATACATACTGGGTTGCAGGGGACACACATTTTTTGGAGATCTGATTCAAGATGGCTGACTGGCGGCCATTTAGTTTTTAGAAAATCTAACAAATTTACTAACGATATACGTATAATACATAACTACAGTAAAATCAATTATATTTTTAGAAATGTAAAAAAATAATTTACCCTCAACGATGAAATCAATAGGATGAGCAAAGTTTTATTTATCAGATAGTCATAATTATAGATATATAAGATTGGGGTATGCAAGGAATTGAAATGCGAAAGAGATCTCGTGTAAATTCAAGGAATAGTCACCTGAACTGTGATAGGACATAATCCCATAACAAATCTACAAATTATTGAGTCAGTCAAAAAAACGATTAGTATATTGATAACGTCCTTGCTTATTTGCAAAATATGTTGTAAATGTGGTTTGTAGGTTTGAATGCAGCGATAAAGCTCACTTGTTTATGTAAGCGTTCAATGCATTCTGTTACGCTATTGCTTATAGATATAATTGATACACACAGCATAAGATTACTCTTGTGTGTGTGTGAACAATTGCTTCTCACAAAATTGCATTTTACCACACATAGTTACGAGGTTTGCATACCCTTATAATATCTTATAAATCCCTGTCAGAATAATCCAGGTTTTATTTGTTATCTGCTGTATTTTAATGTACATCATACTTGCATACACCCAGTTTTCAAGGAAAAAAATGTCAACATCTGCATACTTCGCTTTACCTTGATGCGCCAAAATCAAACTAGGAATACTATGCATGTTTATTGGGCAGTACATTCACACTTAAGAAATAATTATATACAATTTTTATAAATCACATAATATATATACAGAGGAAGAAATCAAAAAAAGCATTTTTTACCCCAAATGACAAAAATGTTTACTAAAATTAGAGAATATAATATACTCACAAAATGAACAAATCTGACCGAGGTCCACTAAAGGTGTTTAGCCATTATCAAAAAGAAGTAAAAAAATAGCACTTTTTACCAAAAATTACAAAAATATTCATCAATCAGTAATATGAACAGCTTAGCTAAGAACTTTCTATATTTAGTGTATACACCAGCATCATTAATATATACAAGTACTGCATTATAGTTTCTAAAAATAACAATTATTGGCAGTCATGTAGTCATTGCACAGATAAAGTCACAAGAAATTTGTATCACATAACTCATTAAAAGATTCCCACAAAAATTTTTAGAAAATACCTTATTACAAAAATAGTACAAAATGTAATTTTCTAAAAAACAGAACTTTAACATTAAAAATTTTGGAAACCAATTACGCAATCATTCAAGGCCTTTTTATTGAACCTAATGAAAAAGTTAATTTTCAATAAAAAAAATGACAGTATAATATTTTCATGTGAATTCCTAAGTCAAAGGTATGTTTATATCTGAAAATATCATTGGTGTAGTTAAACAAATGATGAATCCCAGTCTAAACTAGTTCATTCCATTCCCTGTTTTTTACCATGACTATGACCATTCTGTGTTTCATGCGAGTTAGTTAATCTCGATAGACTCTTGAAAATCATCAGACGCTTTACTATTACATTTTGTTTTTCAGGAACTAATGACCTTGTAGTGGGTTCTCTCGGTCCATTCCAATAAGCTTCTGTCTTGATGTTCTTGTATTCCTGGAGCGAACTCTTCGTTTGCCGCTATCCGTAGTAAAAGTTTCAATGTTCATTGCATCATTTTTATTATCTTGAAGCAAATGTAACATACTTTCATTTTTTTCATCTTTCTTGATCGATTTATTTGTTCTTCTCTTTCTATTGCTTTGAAACTTACCCTGCACATGTGTAACAGGAGAAAAAGAAGTTACTTATATGCTTTATAGAGAGTTAATATTTACTGTCACAGAGCCAAGGCTATAAAAAGAGACAATCTGAATATCATAGTCGCTGTCATGGCCATTTGAGAAAACAAAAGTCTGAACTATGTCTGAAGTGAGTCTGAACTATAACTGAAGCAAGTCTGAACTATGACTGAAGCGAGTCTGAACTATGACTGAAGTGAGTCTGAACTATGACTGAAGTGAGTCTAAAGTACGACTGAAGTGAGTCTGAACTAAATCTGAAGTGAGTCTGAACTATGACTGAAGTGAGTCTGAACTATGACTGAAGTGAGTCTGAACTATGTCTGAAGTGAGTCTGAAGTATGACTGAAGTGAGTCTGAATTATGTCTGAAGTGAGTCTGAACTATGACTGAAGTGAGTCTGGAGTACGTCTGAAGTGAGTCTGGAGTACATCTGAAGTGAGTCTGAACTATGAATGAAGTGAGTCTGAACTATGACTGAAGTGAGTCTGAACTATGACTGAAGTGAGTCTGAACTATGTCGGAAGTGAGTCTGGAGTATGTCGGAAGTGAGTCTGAACTATGACTGAAGTGAGTCTGAACTATGTCTGAAGTGAATCTGAAGTATGACTGAAGTGAGTCTGAACTATGTCTGAAGTGAGTCTGGAGTATGACTGAAGTGAGTCTGAACTATAACTGAAGTGAGTCTGAACTATGACTGAAGTGAGTCTGAACTATGTCTGAAGTGAGTCTGAACTATGACTGAAGTGAGTCTGGAGTATGTCTGAAATGAGTCTGAACTATGACTGAAGTGACTCTGAACTATGACTGAAAAGAGTGAACTATGACTGAAAAGAGTCTGGAGTATGACTGAAGTGAGTCTGAACTATGTCGGAAGTGAGTCTGGAGTATGTCGGAAGTGAGTCTGAACTATGACTGAAGTGAGTCTGAACTATGTCTGAAGTGAATCTGGAGTATGACTGAAGTGAGTCTGAACTATGTCTGAAGTGAGTCTGGAGTATGACTGAAGTGAGTCTGAAGTATGACTGAAGTGAGTCTGAACTATGACTGAAGTGAGTCTGAACTATGTCTGAAATGAGTTTGGAGTATGTCTGAAGTGAGTCTGAACTATGACTGAAGTGAGTCTGGAGTATGTCTGAAATGAGTCTGAACTATGACTGAAGTGAGTCTGGAGTATGTCTGAAGTGACTCTGAACTATGACTGAAAAGAGTCTGAACTATGACTGAAAAGAGTCTGAACTATGTCGGAAGTGAGTCTGGAGTATGTCGGAAGTGAGTCTGAACTATGACTGAAGCGAGTCTGAACTATGACTGAAGTGAGTCTCAACTATGTCTGAAGTGAATCTGGAGTATGACTGAAGTGAGTCTGAACTATGTCTGAAATGAGTAGGAGTATGACTGAAGTGAGTCTGAACTATGACTGAAGTGAGTCTGGAATATGTCTGAAGTGAGTCTGAACTATGACTGAAGTGAGTCTGGAGTATGTCTGGAGTATGTCTGGAGTGAGTCTAGAGTATGTCTGAAGTGAGTCTGAACTATGACTGAAGTGAGTCTGAACTATGACTGAAGTGAGTCTGAACTATGACTGAAGTGAGTCTGAACTATGTCTGAAGTGAGTCTGGAGCATGTCTGAAGTGATTCTGAACTATGACTGAAAAGAGTCTGAACTATGACTGAAAAGAGTCTGAACTATGTCTGAAGTGAGTCTGAACTATGTCTGAAGTGAGTCTGAACTATGACTGAAGTGAGTCTGAACTATGACTGAAGTGAGTCTGAACTATGTCTGAAATGAGTTTGGAGTACATCTGAAGTGAGTCTGAACTATGACTGAAGTGAGTCTGGAGTATGTCTGAAATGAGTCTGAACTATGACTGAAGTGACTCTGAACTATGACTGAAAAGAGTCTGAACTATGACTGAAAACAGTCTGAACTATGTCGGAAGTGAGTCTGGAGTATGTCGGAAGTGAGTCTGAACTATGACTGAAGTGAGTCTGAACTATGACTGAAGTGAGTCTGAACTATGTCTGAAGTGAATCTGGAGTATGACTGAAGTGAGTCTGAACTATGACTGAAGTGAGTCTGGAGTATATCTGAAGTGAGTCTGGAGTATGTCTGAAGTGAGTCTGGAGTATGTCTGAAGTGAGTCTGAACTATGACTGAAGTGAGTCTGAACTATGGCTGAAGTGAGTCTGAACTATGACTGAAGTGAGTCTGGAGTATGTCTGAAGTGAGTCTGAACTACGACTGAAGTGAGTCTGAACTATGACTGAAGTGAGTCTGAACTATGTCTGAAGTGAGTCTGAACTATGACTGAAGTGAGTCTGAACTATGACTGAAGTGAGTCTGAACTATGTCTGAAGTGAGTCTGAACTATGACTGAAGTGAGTCTGAACTATGACTGAAGTGAGTCTGGAGCATGTCTGAAGTGATTCTGAACTATGACTGAAAAGAGTCTGAACTATGTCTGAAGTGAGTCTGAACTATGTCTGAAGTGAGTCTGAACTATGTCTGAAGTGAGTCTGAACTATGACTGAAAAGAGTCTGAACTATGACTGAAAAGAGTCTGAACTATGTCGGAAGTGAGTCTGGAGTATGTCGGAAGTGAGTCTGAACTATGACTGAAGTGAGTCTGAACTATGACTGAAGTGAGTCTGAACTATGTCTGAAGTGAATCTGGAGTATGACTGAAGTGAGTCTGAACTATGTCTGAAGTGAGTCTGGAGTATGACTGAAGTGAGTCTGAACTATGACTGAAGTGAGTCTGGAGTATATCTGAAGTGAGTCTGGAGTATGTCTGAAGTGAGTCTGGAGTATATCTGAAGTGAGTCTGGAGTATGTCTGAAGTGAGTCTGGAGTATGTCTGAAGTGAGTCTGAACTATGACTGAAGTGAGTCTGAACTATGGCTGAAGTGAGTCTGAACTATGACTGAAGTGAGTCTGGAGTATGTCTGAAGTGAGTCTGGAGTATGTCTGAAGTGAGTCTGAACTACGACTGAAAAGAGTCTGAACTATGTCTGAAGTGAGTCTGAACTGACTGAAGTGAGTCTGAACTATGTCTGAAGTGAGTCTGGAGCATGTCTAAAGTGAGTCTGGAGTATGTCTGAAGTGATTCTGAACTATGACTGAAAAGAGTCTGAACTATGACTAAAGTGAGTCTGAACTATGACTGAAGTGAGTCTGAACTATGACTGAAAAGAGTCTGAACTATGTCTGAAGTGATTCTGAACTATGACTGAAAAGAGTCTGAACTATGTCTGAAGTGAGTCTGAACTATGTCTGAAGTGAGTCTGAACTATGTCTGAAGTGAGTCTGAACTATGACTGAAAAGAGTCTGAACTATGTCTGAAGTGAGTCTGAACTATGTCTGAAGTGAGTCTGAACTTTGTCTGAAGTGAGTCTGAACTATGTCTGAAGTGAGTCTGAACTATGTCTGAAGTGAGTGAGTGAGTCAGTCAGTCAGTCTGAACTATGTCTGAAAAGAGTCTGAACTATGTCTGAAGTGAGTCTGGAATATGTCTGAAGTGAGTCTGGAGTATGACTGAAGTGAGTCTGGAGTATGTCTGAAGTGAGTCTGAACTATGACTGAAGTGAGTCTGAACTATGACTGAAGTGAGTCTGAACTATGACTGAAAAGAGTCTGAACTATGATTGAAAAGAGTCTGAACTATGACTGAAAAGAGTCTGAACTATGTCTGAAGTGAGTCTGAACTATGTCTGGAGTGATTGAGTGAGTGAGACCATTTACTCTGAGTTACCTTGGCAATATCATTCAGCAGACAATCGATAATACAAGAATCTTCATCTGTTGTTTTGTCAACAACTGACTGTTTTGTCAAGTTCTGTTGCTTTTTTTCTTGTTCTCTTAATTTTTGTTGTTTTTCCCTTTCTAATGCTTTTTCTTCTTGTTTTTTTCTCATTTTATTGTCCTGCAATAGAGTAATGAAGGTTAAAACACTCTCAAAGTAAAGCCCATATACAAAAAAAAAATACATAAAAATCTGCTGAATGCTGCACCGAAATTTGTGTATGAAAAAACATCATGGCATTTACAAACTGTCATTCTCAGATTCCACCAAAAACTTTATTTCTTGCATAAATGAATAGTGAAGCGTATTACTTGTTGGCATTGCTTGACTAAATCCACAAAGTTATTGATAGTAGTGAATATTTCTTCTAATTTAAAAGTTGTAACATCTTCACAAAGATACACTGCCAACTCTTCCCTTAGTCCCTGAATCTCTTTCAATAACTTCTTTAGCTCAGAACATTCTTCTATTGCATTCTGGGAAAATGAAACAAATTAAAATACTGTAGAACTTGAAATATTTACGCCAAAGAGTAAAAAGAAGAAATCTGGTACAGTTTAGTTTTCACGGAACAACCTTACATCATATAGTTATTTGCATGTCTATATAGAAATATCGCAAATGGATGTCATTGTAAAAAACATACTTAGAGCAATGTGAGTATGTTTAAAGGCGTTAATATTTTCGCATTTCAGTTGACAGCATCAGTGTACAATGGTGTACAAATGTCAACAACACGGAGTGCACCGAGCAGCATTTTACAAAAGCCCATTAAAATCACGACGGACACTCAGTTTGATCAATATTAAAGTGTATTTGATATAAAGGCAGTGGTCATTGTGCAGCGTCAGTTCAAATTTCATATAAAAAATGTATTTTACAAGCATTGTATACATCACTACGGGTCCCATATTGAACAGGACACGGAGCATCGAACACTGCCCTTTAACAGAAATACGCTGACATGTTTCAAAAACGCCTGGAAAACAACTGCATTTAAGGTTTGCAAAAATGGCCGACACAAATCATTCCTAGTCTACTGATGAGAAATACAGTGCTCCCATTGTCATAACAAAGAAATATAGTTCAAATGTTGATATCCAAATATTTTGAGGGTATTAAATGTTTAACATACGTTTAAAAAGTCAATGAACTGCAGTTTGATTTCATCCTCTGCTGATAGTACTTGTTTTTTCAATTTTTCTAAGCCAGTTGTCAAACTATTGACTTCACATGTTAAGGTATCCATGGAGTATCTATGAGTGAATTCAGAGTAGTGAATAAATTAGATGGTTACACGTAAGTTAATTACAACCTAATAAATGAAATAGATTTTTCTAACATGTTAAATCATTATTTCTGAAAAAAAGAAGTATTTGTCAGAATCAATCCACTTCATAACTACCACCGGTACATGTTTTTTTTCAATACACATTATCAAACAACATTTTAAAATATTGCAAGATCTTTTAACCAATTGAAAACAGTGAAAAGCTCAAAAATGTAGTTTTGACTTGTGTCTTGTGAAGGAAATCTAATCATTATTCTAATCCAATCATAATTACCGGTATACTATCTACACAATACTTTTTGTTGTGATGCTGTTTTTAATTAGTGGGTGAAACAGACATGTCTTCTCAGAACAAAATGCATGTTCAATGATTAGAGTGCCCTCAAAGGTGCCTCACCTTTACATTGCAAAATAAATACATGTGCACATGTTACACTTCTTCCAAGTTGGTTATGTTATCAATAGTGTTTGTTAGTTTTTTTGTCTTTTTGTCACTTAAAAAGATAACCCAAAAAATTATGGATGAATTTTCATAAAATTTGTAGGAGGCTTGCCCTTGATACAAGCACAAATGCATTAAATTGTGGTACAGATATGGGTATGGTTACCATGGATACAGCAATTGACGGATTTTCATAAATTTCTAGTTTTAATATTAATACTGGTAATATGATATGTACCCTCCAAACATACCTACAAGCTGCAGGTAATGGTTCAAACTCATGTGGCATCTGTGATACATAGTGACCAGCTTTATGACCAAATACATCAACCAGGTAATGCAGTAGATTCATCCTCGGCTTATTAGCACGGGTATCTACCAATTTCAATAAAGAATCTATTCGAAATCCAACAGCATTTCCAGCATACCCACCCTAGTACACAAAACAAATAAAAATTGACCATGGAAAGGTAATCAGGATCTGAACAAATTCTTCCCAAAGTTGTACATAAAAATAATAAATTATTGCCTCCTTCAAATCATTAGTTCGTACTGGATTTTTAGCAAAACAACAAGGTTAATAATGTACTCAAATGAATATAAGATAATTTTAAGATATAATATAATGTTGGACTATGTGCCCCTTTGTTTTGTCTTGTACATATAGCATCATTTAGTACTAATCAGAGCTGTCACCCTAACTCACATCTAATCAGAGCTGTCACCCTAACTCACATCTAATCAGAGCTGTCACCCTAACTCACATCTAATCAGAGCTGTCACCCTAACTCACATCTAATCAGAGCTGTCACCCTAACTCACATCTAATCAGAGCTGTCACCTTAACTCACATCTAATCAGAGCTGTCACCCTAACTCCATCTAATCAGAGCTGTCACCCTAACTCCCATCTAATCAGAGCTGTCACCCAACTCACATCTAATCAGAGATGTCACCCTAAGTCACATCTAATCAGAGCTGTCACCCTAACTCGCATCTAATCAGAGCTGTCACCCTAACTCACATCTAATCAGAGCTGTCACCCTGTCTAACATCTAATCAGAGCTGTTACCTTAACTCACATCTAATTAGAGCTGTTACCCTAACTCACATCTAATCAGAGATGTCACCCTAACTCACATCTAATCAGAGCTGTCACCCTAACTCACATCTAATCAGAGCTGTCACCCTAACTCACATCTAATCAGAGCTGTCACCCTAACTCGCATCTAATCAGAGCTGTCACCCTAACTCCCATCTAATCAGAGCTGTCACCCAAGATCAC